AGAATCCTTGATTCTCAACTGGTGAAAGACTTCATCTAACGCTGGCATGAGGGAGTCCTTTTCCTTCACATGTCTAGAACTTTCCCTGTCTTCCTCTCTTGCCTCACCTGCATACATGACACTGTCACACAGTCCCAGTATGCCTAGGCAGGGCCTTGGTTAAGCCATAGCCTGTTCACACTGCAGCCCTAATTCTGCCAGCCTGTAGTCAGAGCCAAGCAGTGAACCTTTACCAAACGCTTCCCTGGCTCCAGTTTATATTGGTTACCTGGCTCTGTCCTGGCTCTGTCCTGGCTCTGTCCTCCTGGCTCTGTCCTCCTGGCTCTGTCCTCCTGGCTCTCTCCTAGACCCTGGTGGGACCCTGTGTGACAGGTTGTTTCCTAATCATTTGTCTTTCTGGCTCTCCCACAGGCTTTGTTTCTGAAGGATCCCTTGGGCCATGGGCTGTGCCTGAGACAGATTGGCAAGTCATAAACTTTTATCAGTGCTCAGTATTGCAACCCACATAAGTTCCTGGATCAGTGCTGGGGCAGCAGGGGACAAAGGACCTTTACAGTGTATAGAATAATGAAGTGGCCTCTCACAGGGCCAGAGCTAACTCAGTTGACCTACCAAAGAGACCAAGGCTGACATGCTGGTCGGGGAGCAGAGGAGGAGGTTGTCTATCATTTATATACAATGTCCTGCAGGTTGGGCCTACCCATCCACTGGCCTAAGGACATGGGTGAACCTCTCCTTCAGCTTCGTGCCCAGCCAGAGCTCAGCCCCTCCAGTCTTTCGTGCTCGGCTGTGGCATGGAGCTTCTGGTGAACCAGCCCATGCATCCCAGGGCTTGGGGGATCTTTCCTTTCACCCTGGGAAGGAAGGAGCAGGGGCTGCCTAGATGAACATGACCCACGGCCCCTTCCTTGCCCTGCCAGGTGGCAGTTGAGTAGTACTGGACACATGCAGTGGGAGCTGACAGTGTCCATCCTGATCTAGGTGTCCCCTCCATACAAAGATCAGGGCTCTCCATGTGCCACGGCTGTCTCAGGATGAAGAGATAGGCCTTGTGCTCAACAAATCCCTCGTTACCCCCAGGGTTCTGAAGCAATTTGCTCCACTGCCCTGAGATGCGTCTCTTCCGTTCCACAGAGCACAGATGGGAAACCTCAGCCAGCTGCAGAAGGGAGGAAGGCCCTGGCATTTAGGGGAACTCCTTCGTGAAGTCATGGCTGGATCGCAGGTGTCCCTTAGTCACTGTGGGGCCACAGGTGTCCTTGTTGTAAAGTTTTCTTTCCAGGATGTGGTGTGACAGAGAGAAGGAGCAGAGCCTGGCAGGTGGAGAGTCCTCCGCCTACTTGTAGGCCCAGGCAAGAGCATTCTGGGGACAGCAGTAAGGCCCTGGAGCATCTGAGCCCAGCAAGAACAGTCTATGTGGTGTATCAAGATCTACTGGGCTAGTATCAGAGAAGAGTGCTGTAGACAACCTATGTTGGGAGTCTCTGGGGGGGGGTGTCTCAGTGAAACTGAGACAAAGTCCTGCAGCCAGTGAGGAAGGCCAATTATGAGCTTTACGGGAGGTCACAGGACGGGGCAGGGCCCGTAAAGAGCGGTTCTCCATGCCGTGGACCTCATATCCCTGCGGAACAGCCTGGTGCTCATGTACTGGGACACTGCTAGCTTGTGGATGCTACCCCAGGTCCCGCTACCGACCCTTCCCCTGTGATTGCATTTCTTAGTAGGAAGAAGCAATAGCCACTGCCCTGCAGAGCCACCCCGAAAATGAGCTCTTGGGTGCTAGCCAGGTGCATATAGCAAGAGCCCGGGATTGTTAATCACTGTTCCCCTACCTTCGTTCCCTCCAGGATTCAAGTTTAGTCAAATGACCCCAGATAAACTCTCTGAATCATGCATTTGTAAACAAGCCCAACCACCTTGTAAGAAGAGGCCAGGGTGTTGAAAAGTCCTTGGAAATTGCTAGATTGTGGTATCTAAGACCCCCTGACTTCACTAGCAGTGGTAGGTAGCGTAGGTGTCAGTACTAGGGACTCATCTACTCTCAGGGGTCAGCAATGCATGTAGAAGCCAGAACTCAGTAGTGGTTTCTTCAGTTGCTCTCCTTATTTTCCGGGACAGAATCTCTCACTAAATTGAAAGTGCACAGTTCTGCCAGCCTGGCTGACCAATGAACTCCAACAGCCTCCCCATCTACTTTGTGGGTGCTGGGGATCTGAACTCGGATCCACATGCTCGTGTGGTGGGCACCAAGCCATCTCCCCAGCCCCTCCACCTGAGGGATTTTTGAGGGAGCCGTAGGAGGTACTGGTACCGAGACTGGACTCCACGCCAGGTGAGCTGTGTGAGCTCGGAGCTGGGAGGCTCCCTGGCCGCTTGGAGCTGCTTCACCTTCGAGTCCCTTGTGAGTTGTCCTATTTTTTGTTCTACTTCCTCACCAGGGTCCCTCAACTCAGGGCCCCTGCCTGGTTAAGACTATAAGAATCAAATACACACACACACACACACACACACACACATATTTGATACAAAGCCTCACAAGTCTACTATGTAGCCCCGACCTGGAACTCACTCTGTAGACCAGGCTGGTCTTGAACTCACAGAGATCTGCCTGTTTCTGAAGCCCAGTGCTAGGATCACAGGGAGACACCATGCCTGTCATTGGCAGTTTGTCTTTCATGAGGGGCTGTCGGGTGGAGCAAGCATGTAGCTGGATGGGGTAAAGATGGCACTCTGGGCTGGGAAATCACTGCCTCCTGACCCTGGCATTCGGAAGGTCTAGCATTGGGGGAAGGGTGTACTGTGTGTTATCCTGACCATAGCAGAATTTCTAGTCAAATACTAATCATCTACCAAGAGCGGAAAGCCCTGCTCCTTCCAAGTCCCATTTAAGATTGCCAAGGAGGGCCAGTAAGATAGCTCAGGGGGGAAGGGGTGTTAAGATGCTTGCTACCAAGGCTGAAAACCTGGGTTCAAATGTCAGAACTCATATGGTAGAAGGAGGAACCAGCTCTGGAAAGTGACCTTTGACCTTTGACCATCTACATGTGCATGCAATGGCGTGCGTCCACTTCCTCCCCACGCAGAGGTATGAGCATCCCCTCTCTTCCTCCTCCAAAACAGGAAAAAAAGAAAAGAGGCAAAAAAGAGAATAAACTGGTTAAAAACAAACAAAATAAAAGACCCTTGGGGAAGGGAGCAGTGCCAAATCCCCAAACAGTCACGGGTTCTTCCAAAATACTACAGGATTTCTGAATTTGCTAGAACTCCTAGTGTATGCCCAGTGTGCCTGGCCCGGAACCACTGTTGTCAGAGCAGCTTTAGGAGGTAAGAATTGTCTCTCCTTTCCTCACAGGACAATGAGACCCGAGTGACTTATCCAAAGCCACCCAGTTAGTAAGATGGCAACTGGAAGGACACCACCCTTTGGGGGCAGTTCTTGCCTTTCAAATTCATTCTGGATTAAGAACATAGATTTTGTTGGTTTTTTTTTTTGTTGTTGTTGTTTTTTAAAGACAGGGTTTCTCTGTGTAACAGTCCTAGCTGTCCTGGAACTCACTCTGTAGACCAGCCTGGCCTCGAACTCACAGAGATCCACCTGCCTCTGCCTCCCGAGTGCTGGGATTAAAGGCGTGCGCCACCACTGCCTGGCAAGAACACAGATTTGAAGCCAGGCATTGGTGGCACACAGCTTTAATCTCAGCACTCGGGAGGCAGAGGCAGGTGGATCTCTGAGTTTGAGGCCAACCTGGTCTACAGAGCGAATTTCAGGACAGGCTCCAAAGCAGCACAGAGAAACCCTGTCTCGAAAAACAAAACAAAACAAAAACAAAACAAAAACCAAACCACAGATTTGAGCTGGTGCTGGTGGCATAGGCTTGTAATCCCTAACCTGAAGTTAGAGAGTCAAAGACTGAAGGCCTGCCTGGATACAGAGCAAGGTCAGGTCAGCTGGGAGACTGAACAAGGCCCTGTCTGAAAAGGAGTAGAAAGAGGGCTGAAGATTACAGCTTAGTGGCAAAGTTTTGCCCAGCAGACACAGATCCTAAGTTCCAGCCCAACAAAACTAAATGGGGCTGTAGCGTCATTTGGTAGAGCACTTGTCTAACAAGCGGGAAGCCCTGGATTAAAATTTTTCAGTGCCACATAAAAATATGATGGTAATCCTAGTACGTGAAGGTAGAGGCCAGAAAAATCAGGAGTTCAAGGTCATCCTGAACTACACAACAAGTTCAAGGTCAGCCTCAGACATAGAAAACCTTGTTTTATCACACACACATGCGCGCACACACACACACACACACACACACACCAAGTTCAAGGTCAGCCTCAGACATAGAAAACCTTGTTTTATCACACACACGCGCACACACACACACACACACACACACACACATCCTCATTTGCTGGGGACCAGCTCATGTCTTTAAGCAATTAGTTCTCCCTTCTGTGTTGTTCCTACCTCTGCAAAGTGCAAGCTCCGGCCACCCCATGTCATGGTGGCTGTGAGAATTCGGTAGTAAGGACTCCTGTCTACCCACCTACTGTCTGCACAGCACCCAGATGCTCGGAGGCACTTTGCTTATGTCAGTTCATTGAATCCTTAGGTTTATTTTCCAGAAGAAGAAATGGAGGCCCGAGGTTGCGATTTCTCTAAGAATTACAGCGCAAGAAAGCGACGGCCATAGCAAGATCTCAACCATAGCTGCTTTTGGCAGTTCACACTTCAGGTTCAGGGTCCTGTCCCTGCGGGTGGCCCTTGGTGCTGGTGAACTGTCACTGTCCTCTCCCTCCTGAATGGTAGGGATGACAGGCCAGCAACTTTACACGTTTTGGAACTTCCGCGCCACCCCTGGTCCTTCCAGGACTTAGGTGGGGGTGGTACACCCGCCTCCAGGCACCTGCAGCGGGCCCTGGCCTGCTAAGGGAAAAGGGCAGGTGGTGGGCGGAGCCGGGCGGGGCCCCGAGAGCCTGTAAAAGCCGCGCGGGATGGAGCTCTGGCACTGACATCTGCGGCTATGGAGCGTCCTCACTTCCCGCTGGCGATGGGCCTGGCCCTGCTCGCACTCTGCCTCCTGACTCTGTCCCCGGACGCCCGCGCCGAGCTGCGAAGCCGCAGGATCGGAGAACGCCAAAACCTGTCTCCCAACGATCCCCGGGTGCAGAGGGCCGCGCAGGTCGCTGTGAGCACCTACAATATGGGCAGCAACAGCCTTTACTACTTCCGAGACACCAAAATCGTCGATGCAGCGTATCAGGTATAGTGGCTGGTGGTGGTGGGACAGAGTGGGACAGAGTGGCTGTGGAGAAGGAGAGGGACAGGGACAGGCCGGAGAGCTGATGGCCAGATACCAAACAGCACTAACACAACCATGACGCCGAGCCCATTTTACAAAATAGTTAAAAACAAACAAAAACGGACAAATGACAAAACCTACGGCAACCAATGTTATCTAAATATAAAAAAAATTCAGGATTCAATCATTTTTGGCATCACTAACCTCACTTCCCTAACCGTGTTAAACGGAGTGGGAGGGGCCCCAGATAGAGCAGGTATCACCCGCCATTCTCCACATCTGCCCCAGTTACAGACAGGTGTATACAGGGGCTCTACAACCTCCTGCGAGGCCTGCAGCTTTGTCTCCACCCCAGGTTACACGTAGAAGCCCCACCTCCAGGTTACACCTAGAAGCCCCACCTCCACTTCGGGTCTGAATTCTTAGGTCAGAGTGTTGCATTTGCCAGGCGAAGTTGAAGACTTGGATGGAAAGTGTAGACGTGTACCTCGGTTGGGCTCCCAGGTATCTCTGACCTGCCTGTCTTTTCCCAGCTGGTGGCTGGCCTCAAGTACTATCTGACTATGGACTTAGAGAGCACAGAGTGCAGAAAGACCAGAGTCTCTGGAGATCACATGGACCTCACCACCTGCCCTCTGGCCGCAGGAGTGCAGCAAGAGGTAACAACATTGACCCCAGTTCAGTGCTCTGCAGCGTCTGAGGCCCTTAGCTTCCCCATCCTGACTAGTCTATCTGGCCAGGCAAAGGCCTGGCTGGACCTGTCCTGTCTGGTCTTTGTGTGACTCAGGCCAGGGTGGGGTGCAGGGAGGATAGATTGGGGTTTCTTCTTGGGGTGGGAGTTGCCTGATAGACCTGGGATCATCTCCTGACATCTGACTTCATGTTTGGGTACCACTGGTCGTCTATCCCTGGCTGCAGAGAGATGTGGCAGGCAGGAGGCTGACTGCTGGGAGGAGGAGGCTGGCACCAAGCTCACCTTCCTTGTCCACCATGTTCTCTCCTCAGAAGCTGCGCTGCAACTTTGAGCTCCTTGAAGTCCCCTGGAAGAACACCACTCAGCTTCTGAAGCATGACTGTAAGGTGGTGTAATCTGTCCCAGGGGACAGTGATGAGATCCCATGGGAACCAGCACGGTGGTGGAGGGACCTCAGGGCCATGGGCCCCATCTGCTGAAATAAATTCTTAGCATGGCTTCTTGCATCGAGTTCTCCTGTGTATTCACTCAACCCAGCTCTCACTCAGCTCCCAGTGACTCTCAGAACTCTTCAGCTGACAAGCCCTCTGCCATAACCCCCAGAGAGCCCCTGCCAACTAGCCTGAGGCAGTACTGAGGGTGCATCCCTCAATAGGAAAGAGGTTCTTCAGACACTTCCAGTAGTCTTGGAGGTAAGGTCACAGAAGAGGGATGATGGGCCAGGCAGTGGTGGCACAGAACTTTAGTCCCGGTGCTCAGCGGGCAGAGGCAGGCAGATCTCTGAGAGTTTGAGGCCAGCCTGGTCTACAAAGTGAGTTGCAAGACAGTCAGGGCTGTTACATAGAGAAATCCAGGCTCGAAAACAAACAACAAACAAAAAACCCAAAACCAGCCAAACAAAACAAAGGATGAAGCCCTGAGACTGTTACAGAGGGACGTCTGTGTGAACAGGACCGGCATCTCTTCCTGGGTTCATGCTGGAACTCTGACAGGGTGGATGGAGATGAGAAAAGATAGTCAAGAGGGCTGCAAGGGCTGATGACCCAGGCCAGCACGTTGATCTTTTCATTGCTCTCAGATAAGGAAGTGGTACAGAGCGTCCGACAGCAGAATTACAGGAAGCTCACAATAATCTTTTCTCCCTTCAGCAAGGAACATTCTGGGACAGCAAACACAGCACTTCATGTCTCAGTGTCTGAAATGTTTGACCGCATACATACGGGGGAATGTCAAGTTCCAACTTCAGCCTTTGAGGCCTTGGCACTAGTCCAGAGCTGGCCTTACAGGACATGACTCTGGCTACATTGAGGGGCCTCCAGGCAGTTTGCAATCCAGTCAGACCCACACTATAAACACTTGAAGGGAAGCCTGCTAAACTCTCAGCACTCGGGAGTAGTGTAAGGTGTGCACCGATGTTCAGCTCTGTGGGCTCCAGGGCACTTGGCTCCCAGGTCACAAATATTCTCCTGCACACTGGTAGCAGGAAGTGACCTCCTCTCCATCAGCATCCCCATAGGCCAAGAGGCCATGAAGTTAGGAACCTGCCTCTCGCATCCTCCCCAGAGGGATTTTCTCAGTGCTTTGCTTTGGGCAAGATTCCTAAAAGAACCTGGGCCCTAGGTGCTGGAACACCCGAGAGAACAAGAGCCAGCCTGCTACCCTGGAGGGCGGCTTTCACAGGAGGCGGCAGGGTCCATCCAGTGTCCTGCTGGATTGGAGGAAACAGGTATTACGTTCTCTGTGGGCTTCGTTGTGGTTACAATTCCTGTCATATATGAAAGAGGTGGGGCCAGTCACAGGAACCACTCCGGCGACATGCCCTAAAAATGCTAGAAACACAGCCTAGAAACACACAAGTAGAGACAATAGGCAGAAAATACGTACAGCAAGTAACCTAGAGATGAGCACCCCAACCCTGCAAGCCAGCCCTTGAACCGTGTCTGGAAGGCTTGCTCAGACACACTAACACACATCTACCCTGGGGACAGGCCATAGCCACTGGTTGCTCTGAGGGCACTAGGAGGTGCTAGGCTCAAGCTGGCGTCACAGGGTGGTGTGGAGAGTGACCAGACACCGCTTGTCACAGTTCATGCCTTCTCCTTTCTAAGAGAGGCCTCACACCTCTCTTGTTCCTGTCTGACCCCCTCCTCCCTCCCAACGCTGTGGCCTCATGAGCAGCAGTTACAACTGGGGTCCTGTCTACAGCCCTCAAAGGCCACATCAGGGAGAGAATGGAGACAGAGTGCCACCTGGGAAGCCTGACACACTGAGGGGCTGGATTTGATACCGACATAGGGGACACTTGCAGCCCTGCGTCTGCTGGAACCTGATACCCACAGCAGTTCAGTTTGTGCTATGCAGTCACTGCTTGGAAGGTTTCCCAGGGTTTACCAAGCAGGAGATACCAGCATGGAGCTGGAGCCGGTACAGGGCAAATGGCAGGAAATACTTGTTGAATGAATGTGTGAGGTTCTGGGGAGAGGCAGGACTCCAGAAAGCCCATGTAGTGGTTTCTCCACCCCTGGAACCTGTGCCCAAATCCCAGATGGCATTTCCTCTGCTTGGTGTATTCCTGGGTCTAGGCGTGACTAAGCAAGTTTAGGAGAGGAGTTTCCACCAAGCAATGTTTGTCTTAAAGTCCCAGAGATTGCACTGCTTCCTGGCAAAAGCCAGTGGTCAGGGTGGGTGTTGGTCCGACCACCTTCCAGCTTCCATTCTGGAATCCCTCCAGGCTACGTGACCCCTGGACCGGCCTCCACTAAGAGTAAGGTTGCTATCAATAATGGAAGACAGCTAACCCTTGGTGGGCAGACCCTGGGCCAGGAGTGAGCATCACGTTACTCAATGCTTAGCACAGACAAGCGTCCCGCTGGCAGTCCCATGTGGACACAGGGGCTCTCTCTGGACATCCTTCCGGGGCTCGGACCATGCATGTGGGACTCATCTAAAGCAGCCTGACAGCAGCAGCCATTTTCTTTGTCCTTCTTCGAACAGTAGCTGGTCCATGTCACATGGGCCTGTCCTGATCGGCTCTGAGGCCAGGAAGGTTAAAGGCCTCCTCTACCCCTTTACTAGGTTTCGTAGTCTCACATGGGTGGGGAAGGGGATATCAGTGACCTTTAACCTCTAGGGGTTTTTGGAATATTTTATGTGCATGCATGCGTGTCTGTATGTGGGTTGGACATGTGAATGCAGTGCCCATGGAGGCTAAAAGAAACTGTCAGGTCCTTTAGACCCAAATTACAGGTGGTTGTAAGCAGTCTGATGTGGGTGCTGGGAGCTGAGCTTGGGTCCTCTGGAAGATCAGCAAGTGATCTTAACCACCCAGCCGTCACACTAGCTCTTCCCCTACTTTTTTCAAACCTCTAGGTTCTTTTCAATTTTTATTTGTTTTTGGTTTTCCAAGACAGGGTTTCTCTGGGTAGCCCTGGCTGTCAGACCAGGCTGACCTTGAACTCAGAGATCCACCTGCCTCTGCCTCCTGAGTGCTGGGATTAAAGGCATGTGCCACCATTGACCTTTTGGGTTCCTAATATTCCCACTGGGTAGGTACCCTTATGTTAGATGCTGGGGCTCCCGTAAGCCTGAGTTCCCGGGTGCTGGAACCCATGTCTGGAGTCTCATGAAATCCTGATGATTTTGGGATGTTCCAGTCTGTTCTTTTTCTCCCGACCTCAGGCCAGACAGGTGTTTCTCCAATTAGCAGAGGACTTTGAATTTGCTCCTCCATCACCACCCCAGGCTCCTTTTTTTCTTTTTCTTGCCTTTTTTTTTTAAAAAATATTTATTTATTTATTATGTGTATAGTATTCTGCCTGTGTGTATGTCTGCAGGCCAGAAGAGGGCACCAGACCTCATTACAGATGGTTGTGAGCCACCATGTGGTTGCTGGGAATTGAACTCAGGACCTTTGGAAGAGCAGGCAGTGCTCTTAACCACGGAGCCATCTCTCCAGCCCTTGTTTTTGTTTTTTTGAGACACCTTTCTCTGTGTAATGGTCCTGGCTGTCCTGGAACCACAACTCAGCAACAGGCTCCTCTTTCTGTGGTACCCTTTTGATCCCTTCGAAAGCATTGTTGCTCTGAACTGGGAGGCTGGGACCTGGTGAGGCTGGGAGAGATACAAGAGGAGCCCTTCTGTGTGCAACTTTAGACACATGCCTGCAGCACACTGTCCAACTCTGCATGCAACTCTTGACATATACCTGCAATACACTATCCAACTCCACATGCAACCTTGACATATGCCTGCAGCACACTCTCCAACTCCGCATGTAACTCTTGACATATGTCTGCAGCACACTCTCCAACTCCGCATGCAACTCTTGACACATGCCTGCAGCACACTCTCCAACTCCCCTACTTTAGCTTTAGGCTAGCCAGTGAGGACACAGAGCCACCCGGGCTTTTTAAAACTCTGTTGGGACTTGAGTCCAGCATGGTTCTGGATAAGAATGCCAGTAGAGTTAGGGACTTGTCCCAACCCATCCTGGTCGGCCACTTGCCAAAGACTCAAGTCAATATGGTGGTACTCCTCAGGGTCATTTCCCGAAATCCTCTTCTCCAGCCTGTGGGTCAGATAGGGTGTGTGTGAGAGAGCCAGCGCCAGCCTTTGCCAATGCCACACCTGTTACTCAGAACCACTCTGGGTAAGAACTCCTCCCCCAACCCTCTCTCTACCTCCCCCCCTCTCATCCTTCCTGGTTCACCTCAAATGCAGTGTCGACAATCTCATCGATGACAGATGCTTGGGAACGAAACTTCTGCTGGTGCTGCTCCACCGATGCCACCAACTGTAGGTACTGGAAGTGGAGCTCCCGCTGCCTGGAGTCGGACAGAGGCAAGGACTGGGTTCCTAGGCCCTAACGTGGCTCTGCTTGCCATGATCTAGACCTCCATCTCCAGTGTGCCCCCCTTTTATAGATTTTATTTATTATTATTTTGTGTATGTTATTGTGCACATGTGTGCGTGTGGACACACATGAATTGTGCATGTGTGTGGAGGCCAGAAGTCAGCCTTGGTTATCTTCCTCTAGAGTTCTCCATGTTTGTTGTTGCTGTTGTTTGGGGTTTGTTTTGTTTTTGTTTTTTGTGTTTTTGAAGACAGGAATTCCTCCGTGTAGCCCTGGCTGTCCTGAAATTCGCTTTGTAGACCAGGCTGGCCTCGAACTCACAGAGATCCACCTGCCTCTGCCTCCTGAGTGCTTGAAGTCAAGGTGTGCACCACCACTGCCAGACTTCCACTTTATCTTTGAAGATGGTGTCTGCCATTGAATCTGGAGCTCACTGATTGGCTAGACAGGGATCCTGCCAACTTTACTGCCTCCACCAGGATTTCAGGTACAGGAATGCACTGCCACACCCAGAGTTGTCCGTGGGTGTTGCCTCTGGCCCTCATGCTTGCCTGGAGAGCACGTTACAAACATCACCATCTCTTCTTGCCCCTAACATTTTGAGATGAGTTCCTGCTGAGTTGTCCAGACTGGCTTTGAACTTGTGATCCTTCCACCTCAGCCTCCCAAGGAGCTGAGGTTACCAGTGCACACCATTATACTTGGTGAGTCTGCCTGTTGTCCAATCCCCAAAATATCCCTGTCTGTCAAAGACATCAGCCACGGTTTACCTCTTAATCACACATCCTGCCATATACTTATTTTTCACACCCACCTTCTTGCCCATTCATCTACACAAGCCTCAACATGGACCCACTCAACCACCTGCCTATCCATCATGTGCCCAGCCAGCCACTCGCCTGTCCAGCCATTGCACCGTTCCATACTTACCCACCCCTGCGCCTACATGTTTGCCCCTGGATCCACCCACTCAGTCTAAAGAACCATCTATCCACCCACTTTATCCACCTATGTTCACTACTCTCTTGCTCCTCCACCTACTGGAGCTTATCAGTCCCCCTTCCACCTTCCACGTGGCTGAAACCTGTCTGACTCCAATGAACCAGCAAAGACTCTGGAGCATGGAACTGAGTGGCGGTGATACAGTATGACTTCTCATGGGATCCCTGGCACTGTCATGGAGCCTGAATCTGACAAGGGTCAGGGTGGTGGGGGTGCATGCCTTTAATCTCAGCACTCAGGAGCAGAGGCAGGTGGATCTCTATGAGTTCGAAGACAGCCTGCTCTAGAAGAGCTAGTTCCAAGACAGGCTCTAAAACTACACAGAGAAACCCTGCCTCGAAAAACAAACAAACAAAAACAAAGAGAGAAGAAAGCTCTGCTGCTGATATGGCCCTTGCAGTGCAGCCAACATGAGTTTCTTTCTTTTTTTAAAAAAATATTTATTTATTTATTATGTATACAATGTTCTGTCTGTGTGTATGCCTGCAGGCCAGAAGAGGGCACCAGACCTCATTATAGATGGTTGTGAGCCACCATGTGGTTGCTGGGAATTGAACTCAGGACCTTTGGAAGAGCAGTCAATGCTCTTAACCAACATGAGTTTCTTTGAGAGCTGGGTGTCGCTCCTCACTGCCCAGGGAGGCTTATGTTCCCGTGTCCCAGTTGTGGGTGTGGAAACAAGTCTAGTCTGCCCACTTCCTCCTACCCAGGAGAGGTGGGCAATGTTCTTTTTCCTTCAGACCCACCATCAGTCCTCCAGACCTCTTGCCCTGGACCCGAGGCCTCCCCTTCCTCCTATCCCCTCACCTCTCTGTCATGGTGCTGAACATCCTCTCAATAAACTGTGCCTGCAAGGCACTGTCGCTCATCTGGGCCTCAGCATCTGCATGGAGAGAGGGGCGTGGGCAGGAGGATGTCCAGGCGAACGACTGATTCAAGAAGGCAGAGGAATCCCACCAGTCAGGGAAGTACAAGGGAGATCTTAACCAGGCGGTGGTGGCGCACGACTTTGATCCCAGCACTCAGGAGGCAGAGGCAGGCAAACCACTGTGAGTTCGAGGCCAACCTGGTCTACAGAGCAAGTTCCAGGACAGCCAGGGCTACACAGAGGAAAACCTGTCTTGACTCCTCCCTCCAAAAAAAGACCAAACCATACAAAAGGGGACAGAAGACAGATAGTGGAGACCAGATTCCAGATTGTGACGACCACTCGAGTACTGGTCAAGCCACTCCCCAAATTCTCTGCATTCTTAACTTGCTACCTGGAGCCAATTCATTTATTTTTCCACTTAAGGTAACTTATCAGTCATAGGTAGGGGGCTGCTTTGCTGATCTCAGAGCAGGGTCCTGAAGCTCAGGTTCTGTGTTCATTTCTTTTTCTTCCTCTCTCTTTCTCTGTCCCCCCCAAAATGTATTTATTTTTATTCTCTCTGTGTGTCTATTTTCCCAGTCTCAAAAAAAAAAAAATAAAACAAAACAAAATTACTGAATTGAATTGACTTTTTTTTTTTTTTTTTTTGATTTTTGAGACAGGGTTTCTCCCTGTAGCTTTTGGTTCCTGTCCTGGAACTAGCTCTTGTAGACCAGGCTGGCCTTGAACTCACAGAGATCCGCTTGCCTCTGCCTCTCATGTCTCAGACTCACCGTCCTGAAGCCACCTGGCTACTCAGGAGAGGGAGGAATGCCAAGGAGGGACTGGCCAGTACCTGTTTTGTTGAGCTCTGTCAGAGAGTCGTCCAGCAACTTCTCGTGGACCCGGGCAGCTTTCTAGATAAAAGGCCTCAGTTCTCTCAGGGTTTCTTCCCTGGCCCCCACACCTGGAACACTGTCTCTCCATCCCCACCCTCTCCCCATGTGTGGTACCTCCAGCTTCACTTTCTCGAGGCCTTTGAGAAGCGCCATCTGGAAGTTATCTACCAGGACAGCAATCACCAGGCTGCAGAGGGCACAGTGAAGTTCTCTTAAAGGGGACACCAGGGAAGAGGCCACGTACTATCCTGAGTCCAGTGCGGCCTAAGTGGAGAGTAAGGGCTGGGGTGGATTAGGGAGACAGCCATGGTGAAGCTGGGCAGTAAGACAGGTGCCTCACTTGAGGAAAATGAAGTACTGGATGATGATGTAGATCATGAGGATGGGGATGATATACCAGGCCCCTGGGGAGGGAAAGCATCAGTCAATCCAAAGGCATTCCCCAATCCCCACCCTTTCCAGCAGGAATCAGCAGCCCCCAGATGGCAGATGTAACAGAGCCATTAGCGTCTGCCCACCTTGGGCCCTGCTGTCTATGTAGATGAGGGACCAGTCATCCAAGGTGAGCATAGTGAAGAGGGTGAACAGGGTGGTGAAGATGTTCTGGAAACGCTTGGGGTCCGATTTCCGGAACAACGCTCGGAGCACCACAGAGAAGAGGACTAGCAACTGCTCAGGGTGAAACCAGAATCAGAACCCCAGCCTCTGTACCCACCTCTCACCAGGCTTCACCTAGTCCCTTCCAGACCTGCTGCTCCCCGCTCCCATCTGCCCTAGGCCAGCAGCCGCCCAACCTCCACTGCATAGGATACAGAGGCAGGTGAACATGAGGGTCAGGATGGCTGTGATTGACGGCAAAGATCCGCTCAGAGTCCCTGTCACCTCGTGGAGACTGGTGAGGATGCTGTGGGTGGTGGTGAAGGTGGAGTCTGAGTTAGTGGGGATAGAAGTGGAAAGCTGCACCTGAAACCAGACTGGATACTAAAATTAGGGGGTCCCTTTTCACTGGTGACTCAGTCCTGTCCCCATGCTCCCCTGGAAAATGGAGCTATTATCCTTGCAAGAACACGAGGGAGGCTCATCTTAAGCATGCAAGGGGTCATGGTGTCAACCCACCATCCTCCCTGGAACAGGTCATAGTGGACTCCCTGGAAATCCAGGTCCCTTGGTGGCAATGACCTGAGCCTCCGAAGGACCCGGATGGCCCTCAGAGCCCGCATGCTCTTGAAGACTTTGAGGATCCGGAACAGGCTGTGGTTGTAGAACGAGTACGATAGGGAGTTGATCTGGATAAGCACAAAGTCCAGCACCGCCATGACCATGATGAAGAAGTCTGAGGGTAGACGGGTACTTGAGTTGTGGAAGGGCACAAGAGACCCACAAGTTCCCCTAAGCCAGAGTCCCATCTCTGTCCCTCTTTCCTCCCACAACCTACCCACCCACCCAGATTGTTCCATGGGTCATAAAAATACTCCAGGCCCAGGGCAATTAGCTTGAGCACGGCTTCTATTACGTAGATCGAGAGGAAAATGGAGTCCAAGACCATGAAGAACCATTCTGTGGGGACACCAGAGGCTTTTTTAGTGACAATCAGCAACATCCTGACCCCACAGCCCAGCTTTTTCCTTCCTCTCTAGAACCTCATGTAGGCCAAACACCCAGGCTGTCCCTGGCTGGGTTCTTTTTTGGTTTGGTTTTGTTTATTTAGACAAAGCCTTATTCGGTAGCTCTGGTGGCCTGGAAACTTGTAAGCATAAAAGCATTTAAAATGTCCTAAAACTACAGCCTTGCTTGGACTGTGGGCATGTGGCTTCTTCATCCTGCTCTACTGGGCTTCAGAGGCCAGCATTCTCCGTCTTCCTGCTTTTACTCTTCCAGGGCCTCCTGGTGGAGGTCTCCAGGCTCTTCCCCTGGACCCAGGACTTCCCCCACCACACCCCCTGAGCAATATATTTAGGGCATATGCGCCACCTGGTGGCTCCATCATGAACAGCACCGCCTACAGTTAGTGGGTTTTCTGCAGTAGTCTCCAGCAATATTTCTTGCTCTGAGAATGTCACCTGTTGTTGGTAACTTTTTGCTCTTTTGGGGAGGCCACCACCCAGTTCCCAGATAAATCACACATGGAGGCTTATTCTTAGTTATGAATGCCCGGCCTTAGCTTGGCTTGTTCCTTGTCAGCTTTTCTTAACTCAAATTATCCCAACTACCTTTTGCCTCTGGGCTTTTTCCTTTTCTTACTTCTGTACATCTTACTTTCACTTTTACTCTATGGCTGGCTAGGTGGCTGACCTCTGACGTCCTCCTCTTCCCCCGTTCTCCTATTTATACTCTCTGTTTGCCAGCACCAACTATACTTACTCCTGCCTATTGAACAGTCAGCTTTTTCTTAGGACCATTGGGTGTTTTAGACAGGGAAAGAATCACAGTTTCACAGAGTTAAACAAATGGAGTATAAATAAAAGCAAAACCTTAAAATAACATTCCCCACCGGGCGGTGGTGGTGCAAGCCTTTACTCCCAGCACTCGGGAGACAGAGACAGGTGGATCTTTGTGAGTTAGAGGCCAGCCTGGTCTACAGAGTGAATTCTAAAACAGGCTCCAAAGCTACAGAGAAATCCTGTCTCGATAAACTACTACTACTATTACTACTATTACTATTACTGTTCTCCGGCGGCCACCGAGTTGCCGGAGAATGAAGATGAAGTAGCAGGTTTCGAAGACTGCCTGGCACTGGCTCAGGCTCATGGGAAGTCCTGGAGTCTCAACTGTCTTCAGCATAGATAGTGGCACCTGACTCTTACCACCTCTGATCTCTAGCTCAGTGAAGGTCTGGGCCACAAGGACGACTGTGTTGAGGCAGACCACGATGAAGATGAAGGTCTCAAAGCCCAGGGACTGAGTCAGTGACATCATCATTTGCCGGAGACCCCAAATGAGGTGAGATATTTTCCCCCAAATCAATTGGAAGATATTCCCAGAACGCATCTTCTTGTGGGTCCGCTGTGTCCCTGAAAGTAAGTCGGAAAGTTATGCCCAGGCAGGCAGTGATGGGGTGTAGTGATCCCAGGCACCCTCCCAGACGAACATTCCTCCTCTTGCCCATTCACTAATGTGACACTATGCTTGCCCTGTGCTGGCCATGGAACCACAGTCCTTAAACCTTCCACTTTAGAGACTAAGATGTTTGGGATTTGGTTTGGCAGGTCCTAAGAGTTCCTGATCCTACAGATCTACCTTTGTTCATCTGGAAACTCAAAGAAAACCTAATTCTTGTCACCGTCCTGCCCTCTTGGTGATCTCTTTCCTGTTTAAGATCCTGCTAAATCGTCCCTTTCCTTGACTACTTTTCCTGTTCCCATTCAGTAAGCCACTTGCCCCTCTCTGATTGTTTGTGAGACTTGCTATTTTTGCTAAACTGTAGGCATAGAGCCTGGGAGACTGTAACAGTTAAGGTATCCACATTTGATGAGAGCCTCAACGGTCAGGACGTGGACACGCGGGCCTCAGCGGTCAAGACGTGGACACACAAATGAATAAAACAGTGACTAAATGAAGAAACACTGTGTGGCCTCCAGAATCACGTACACTGTGTGGCCTCCAGAATCATGTACACTGTGTGGCCTCCAGAATCATGTACACTGTGTGGCCTCCAGAATCATGTACACTGTGTGGCCTCCAGAATCATGTACACTGTGTGGCCTCCAGAATCATGTAGCTTAAGGAATAAAGGGTAGGACAGTGAGCAGAAGAAGAATAAATGGCTGGTGGAATGCTATACAGGTGAGAACTGAGCTCCAAGGTCCAGATTAGATGTGCATGAATCTGCGTGAGGGAGTAGGGGTCCGGCTGCGGGCCCAGCAGAGACAGTAGGGTCCGGCTGCGGGCCCAGCAGAGACAGACAGTAGGGTCCGGCTGCGGGCCCAGCAGAGACAGACAGTAGGGTCCGGCTGCGGGCCCAGTAGAGACAGTAGGGTCCGGCTGCGGGCCCAGCAGAGACAGACAGTAGGGTCCGGCTGCGGGCCCAGCAGAGACTCACTCTTGCGCTTCTGAATGTGTTCATCTTCACTCCAGGAGTCGGATTCTCTGGAGCTCTCCTTGGGATGGATTCTGCTGGAAATACGAGAGGCGCCCGATCGACTTGTCAAGTGGGAGCGAGGCACACTGAAGACTGAGCTTTTGGCCCCCATACGAGAAGGGGAGGCGCCGAAGGTGCTGTGGGACTTCTGTAGCATGGAGGCTTCGGAGGGGCTCAGATGGTGAAGGTGGGAATGCTCTTTGGGATGAAGATGTTCTCCAAGATGTTGTTCTTTGTGGTAATGGCGCTCTCTATGGTGGGGACGCTCACCATGGTGATGGGTGGCTTGGTGGCCTGTATGATGGCCGCCACGGTGGTGATGTCTTCCCTGCTTGGAGGACTCCTCAAAGGACTGGTGGGAGGGGCTCTCTTCAGAATGAGGTGGCTTTTTGTGGTGTTGGGATTCAGTAGGTTGATGCCTGCCGTCATGGTGGGCGTGGTGATAGGATTCATGGGATCTCCCCTGGTGGGAAGCATCCTTTCTGCTGGATGACACAGTAGGGAAGTGGGACGAAGCCTCACTACCTCGATGATAGGGATGTTTATCTTGGGACTGTCTGCGATGGTGGTGGGACTCAGTAGGGGGATAAAATCCACCATGGGGCCCACCCATATGGTAAGGGGCAGTACCAGATGCTGTGGAGAGGCGGGCTTTGTTATAGTGTTGGGACTGATGGAAGAAGGCACCATCTGGAGAGTCTGAGGACTCACGGAAGTGCTGGGATTCATTTGGGTGGTGGAATCCGCCATGATAGTGAGATGGAGGGTGAGGGGGCTCCCAAGGATAGTGGGCTCCACTGAGGTCTGGTCTGTAGTGGACGTGGGAGTACGGTGAGTGGGAGTGATGGCCTGAATCCGTTCTAGCAGTGTGTGCCTCACGATGAGCCTCGTCCATCTTTGAGGGTTGATCCATGACTATACTGGAGCCCCTGGAAGAAAGAGAGCTCAAGTAGAGAATCCAAAGGACCTTTTCTGGACCTTCTTCTCTGCTAAAGCTGAGCTTAGTGCCAGTGCTTCTAGGAAGATCTGACCATTCTCTTAGAACTCTCCTCTCTGTGATGTCACCAACATGCTTGGGCCTCATTTTACCCATGAGGACTCCTTTTGGACTTATTATTCAGAGTCAAGAATTATTGTGTCTAAACAAAACAAAACAAACAAAAAGGAAAAGGAATTATTGTGTCTAATCTATTTATTGTAAAATAAGGAAAGCAAGCTGGTTACAGTAATGTGGACCTGCCATCCTAGTACAGCAGCAGAAGCAGGCAAATCTCTGTGAGTTCAAGGCCACTCTGATCTACACCTTGAGTTCCAAGGGAACCAAAGCTACGCACCGAAACACTGTCTCAAAAAACAGACAAACAAACAAACAAAAAAGTCTCAACAAGCCCAAAGGTACAGAAAACCGAAGCTCGAGGTGATCCAGCAAAGCAACGACAAAACTGTACCAAGAAAAAGTTAGTGGCACCATGGGTAAAACTCTTGCTGTCTAAGCCTGTTAACCTGAATTCAGATCCCTAGAACCTACTTGAAAGATGGACAAGCAACACAGGTGTCTGTAATCCCTGGGCTCCCATGGAGAGATGGGAGGCAGAACCGGGAGACTACAGAAGCTGGCTTGGATTTAGGTTGCTGTATTCAGCATCTCAAGGTAGAAGGTGTGGGAAGAGGAAGAAACCCTGAGTGGATGTATGTTGTTGATATGAGTGGGCTATTTTGTGGCACACACCTGCATACCCTCCAGCAAGGAAGACATGAACACAGATGTGGCACCCACCAGCAAGAAAGTCATAAACATCCTGTGATACCCACCAGCAAGGAAGACCATGAATTTGAGGCCAACTTGGGCTACCTAGTGAAACTGTCTTGTAGAGAGAAAAAAAATCTTCCCCTAGATTTGGTCCAGGCTTACCTAGGGAATGTATGGTCCACAATAGACTGTGCCATCCCTAGCAATCAAGAAAATGCCTTCCCCACAGGCCAATCAGATGGAGACAATTTCTCAACAGAGAGTCTCTCCAGTCTGTCCAGCTCCAGCTTGTCAAACACATTACTGTTAAACTACAACTGCTCCTTGTCCCAAAGTGCTTGTGTTAATACAGAAATATAAAACAAAACAACTTTAAATGTCCCACACTCATTAAAAAGCTCAAAACCTTAGAAGCGACTACTAAAAGTTTACATTGCTTTCCGATAATTATAGTCACGTCACTTAAAGCTATTGAAGGACAGGTTTCTCAGTCACAACACAGCACACCATATTTCAGAAATATACCCCTGTCATAAACTGAACAATAACCTCGCGATGCCGTGAGTGGGGGCAGGAGCTTGAGCTGGATGTTCTGAAGATGTTAAAGATTTTACTCATAGGACAGTTTGTCAGATAAGACTCTTTAGTAAGGAAAGACAAAATAACTTGAAGGACTAGTGGATGATTTCAGACATAAATGAAGCGGAAAGGAGACAAGTATCCAGATCTGGGTGGATTTAAGGATATGGGCAGTTTTCAGGTAGAAGATGGAAATAAAAGATTCAACAATATGGGGCTGTAGTGATGGTTAAAGGATTAAAAACACTTAAGGCTCTTGCAGAGAACCTGGGTTCAGGTCCCAGAACTCACACGGCGGATCACTGCCTGAAACTTCAGTTCCAGAGATCAGATGTCTTTTTCTGACTTCCTCTTTTGTACGTGGGTGTGTGCACATGCGCGCGCGCACACACACACACACACATTTATTTTAAAAACTTCCAACAATCTGATTAAACTTGAAGTGTCTGGAAGGCAAAACAATAACCCAAGCAAAAACATCTCTTGCAAAAGTTCCTAGGAATAGCAAGTAAACCAAAGCCTGGTGATTGTGGAAGGATTCCAGCTAGATTGTCCAACTGCCATAAATGCAATGAAAGAGCCTTGAGCAGAAACAGTACACTAACAAAGTAGCCGCAGAAATATAGGGGAAGTTGGCGAAATTGTTTTTGACGCTGGAATTTTCACTTGAGAGTTCTTTATACGCTTTTCAGTACTTTCTACTTAACATTCTTCTCAAAGTTTTTTTTTTTTTCTGTGGTTTTGGAGCCTGTCCTGGAACTAGCTCTGTAGACCAGGCTGGTCTCGAACTCACAGAGATCCGCCTGCCTCTGCCTCCCAAGTGCTGGGATTAAAGGCAAGTGCCACCACCGCCCTGCCTTCTCAAAGGTTTGTAACACCTAAATCTGCCTGCGGTTATGCCTGAGGCCAGGTGGTGTTGGTGGCAGGCGCCTGTAATCCCAGAAATCAAAGGCAGAGGCAGGTAGATTTCTGTAAATTCAAGGCCAGCCTGGTCTTCAGTGTGAGTTTAAGGACAGCCAAGGCTACACAGAGAAATCCTGTCTCAAGATACAAGAAGAAGAAGAAGAAGAAGAAGAAGAAGAAGAAGAAGAAGAAGAAGAAGAAGAAGAAGAAGAAGAAGAAGAAGAAGAAGAAGAAGTTGTTGTTGTTCTGCCTGAGACCAGGACTGAAGTAGACCTTCCAAGATAAAAGGCTATCATTAGAGACAAACATTTTAATTTAAAAAAAAAATTATGGGGGCCGGAGAGATGACTCAGTGGTTTAAAGTACTGTCTGCTCTTCCAGAGGTCCTAAGTTCAATTCCCAGCAACCACATGGTGAATCACAACCATCTGTAATGAGATCTGGTACCCTCCTCTGGCGTGTGGGCATGCATGGAGGCAGAATGTTGTATACATAATAAATAAATAAATCTTAAAAAAAAGATTTATTAAATTTTATGCATATGAATGTTTTATCTTCAAGTATGTATGTGTACCATGTATATACCTGGTGCCTGTGGAAGTCAGAAGAGAACGTTGGAGACCCTGAAACTGGAGTTAGGATGATTGTGAGCCATCACATGAGAGCTGAGAATTGAACTCAGGTTCTCGCAAGAGCAGAGATGGCTAAACCACTGAGCCATCTGTCTAGTTCTGGGGCTACCAATTCTTTTCTTTCTTTCTTCCTTCCTTCTTTCTCCTTCCCCTTCCTTCCTTCCTTATGGGAATGTTTTGCTTGCATGTATTTTTGTTCCCCATGTGTATGCAGTGCCCAAAGAGGCCAGAAGAGGGCGATCAATTCTCTGGAATTGAAGTTCCAGGTGCTGGGAGTCAAACCTGGCTCCTCTGGAGGAGCCACCGTTGCTCTTCCTGGGGCATCTCTTCTGCCTCAAGGCAAATAGCACAGCAGAACAGAAGCTGCTCAGTGTCCTAGATTACAGGACCTAAACCATGGTGTAAATATGATCACTTTTGGGAGGATGATTGCTTTTTCAGTGAAGCAGTAAGCTTGCTTCTTTCCCTTTTTCTCTTTCGCTGGTGGAAGTGGAAGCAGGTGACCTGGACACTATCTAAAAGGAAGCAGTCTCAGACGCTGAGGCCCAAATGAAGATGCACCCTTGGTCACTTCTCAGGGAGGTTTGACGAGTCTTCTGAGTTGCTGACTTTACTCCTGTTGTCTCTTCATGAGCATGGTGGAGGTGTCTATCACGAATTACACAGTTCCAGAACACAATGGTGTAATTTGTGTCTTTTCAGCTGTAATGATGAATAAAAAAGACCGAGGTACCTTTTGGTTGGCCTGCCAAGGTATGCCACTAAGCAAACACATCACGTGCAACAGAGTTAGTGCAAGAGGTTTATTGGGGAGGGGTGAAAGAGTGAAAGGCCGTGTCAGAGTGGGAACATGAGAGAGACAGGCAGACAGACAGAGAGATAAGAAAGAAGAGAGTCAGAGAAGAGAAAGAGGCAAGAGAGGAAAGAAAAGGCAAGAGAGAAAAGAGACAAGAGAGTGAGCTATGCTTTGGTGAGCACTTTTAAGGGGTGCACATGGCCAGGAGGTGGCGGCTCACATCTTTAATCCCAGCACTCTGGAGGCAGAGGCAGGCGGATCTCTGTGAGTTCGAGGCCAGCCTGGTCTACAGAGCGAGTTCCAGGAGAAATCTTGTCTCCAAAGGCAAAGCAAAGCAAAACAAACAAAAAAGGGGTGCACATATCCCATGGCTGACAGAGGAAAGGTACCTGGTGGCATGTGATGATGCTTTGGCAGTAGAGACAGCCTGCTATGGCGTGGAAACAAATCCACGTGAGACAGGGTTTCTCTGTATAACAACACTGGTTGTCCTGGAATTCACCCTGTAGTTCAGGCTGGCCTCAAACTCAGAGAGCTGCCTGCCTCTGCCTCCCTAGTGCTGGGATTAAAGGAGTGAGCCACCACCACCTGGCTTCCCCTCTTATTCTTGCTCAATATGTTAAATCCAATTAAGTGGCCTTTCAGAGTTTTAAAACTGTTAGTCTTGTTTCAATTTACGTGTGTCTTGAGGAACTGGCAACAATTTCAGATCTCCATTTTAACTCTTTCATTTTGAGGGTTTAGAATTCACTCCATCTTTTATCTGAATCTCTTCCACTTTCTTCTTTATGATTTAGGTTCCAATTTTTAATTTAATGTGTATGGTGTATGGGTGTTTAGCCTGTATGTGTTTGTACACCACGTGTGTTCCTGGTGCCAGTTGAGGCTACAAAGGAGAATCAGGTTTCCTGGAACTGGAGTGACTGACCTTTGTGAGCCACGATGTGGGTGCTGGGAATCTACTCCAGGTCCTCTGGGAGAGCAGTCAGGGCTCTTTGCTGCTGAGTCATTTCTCCAGCCGGCTCTAAATATTATTAGTTTTAAATTTATTTACTTATTTAGAGACAGGGTTTCATTATGTAGCCCAGTAACTTCCTATATAGACCAAGCTGGTCTGGAACTCAGAGATCTTTCTGTTTCTACCTCTTGAGTGCTGAAATTAAAGGCCAATCCCGTTCCAATTATTTTTAGTAACATCTTTTTTATATACCGACCTAGCCAAAGCCTCCGTAGAATTACCTCTCCAGCGCTGG